TTGCAAATACTGGGTTTGTTCCTGGTCTTTTTTTCATAGACTAAAAGCAGCATTTGAGTAGATCCTGTGTTGCCACAAAAATGTTGCAAAATGTTAAGGAATTTGTTGTTCTGTCTTGTATCTCCTTATACCTAGAATTAATATCTTACAATAGGCCATATAGTTCTGCAAGTTGGGGGTTTGGGGTTTTTTTTTGTTTTGTTTTGTTTTTTAAAAAGCTTTATCAAGTCAGAAATAAAATTTTAAGTCACATACTGTCTTATGATAATTGTTGATACTTAAGTGCATGAGAGTACAAGTAACTGATGTTTTATTTCAGTTAGCTTTGTGTTGATCTGAGAGACTAATTCACTTTCATTGCTCATTTGTAGCTTTGGATCATGATTTGTAAAAAATAATAATCAGGGATTTTTGTATGCTCAGAATCTTTTACTGTCTCTACCTAGTTGAAATGTAGTTTTGTGATTTTAGGTGAACAAGATGTGGCTACAATTTTGCCTCATTACCTCAATGTCATGGAGAATACACCGCTTTTAACAGTCAATACCCCAGAATCCTTTATAGAAGCTAGTAAGAAAACAGGAGAATCAAGCTCACTTTTACCAGTAAATGAAACTCAAACCCTAGATACAACGTGTGTAGGAAACAAATCTGCTACAAGTTCTGAAAGCTCTGTGGCTGGCAGCCCTGATACGGAGTCACCTGTGCTAGTGAATGAATATGTACGTATATTTCAATTAAGATATATCCAAGAGAAATTAGAAGCCTTTTTTCCATTTCAGTCTTGTTCAGTTTTCATCTGCAAATTTGTTATGGGCATTGTTTTTTGATGTACTTTATAACAGTAAAAAATCTATCTTTGGAGTGAAAATAAAGTAGCACTATTCTCTTAAATGTCACTATTTTTATTAACAGGAAGCTGGTTCTGGAAATGTGAGTCAAAAATCTGATGAAGATGACTTTGTGAAAGTTGAAGACTTGCCCCTTAAACTTGCGGTATATTCAGAGGTACTTTGCTATTGCTTGTGGGGTTGTTGTGCAGAAGTGCACAACCTAAATGTATTAGTTCTTATTGCTGTCTAGATAATTATCGAGAATGTTGAGTTTTGCTTATCTGTTACAAAGGCAGATTTAATGAAGAAAATGGCAACAGAGGCCCAAACGAACAGTTTGTCTGATGAACTGCTGGATGGAGGTGGAGCTCAGGATCAAGAATTAGTAGGAGATGCCCAAACTTTGAAAGAACCTGGTAAAGATGATTTTCTAAACCCTCTACACCTATTGAGAAAACACTCTGAAATGGCCTAGAATTTAAATATCTTGTTATCACTGATTGAAGTAAGCAGTTATTGTGGTGCTGAAAGAATATCCTTTTTTTGTTATCATGCATTTGAAAATTATATATTGATACGAAAGGATTTTGCCTTCCATGTCCTTTCTGTCTAATTCTGTTAGATTCTGTGGCTAATACAGTCATAAAAATTAACATATTGAAAATACATGTTTTAATGATTTGAAATGTATTAAAATTGAATAGTATTTTTGTTTCTTGTTACAAGATTTGGTTTAATAATACTGTAAATTCTAATTCCTATTTTCTGGTTTAATAATGGTCAATATAATTTGTTGACAGAATACTCTGTTTTTGTAATAGAAAAGTTCAAGAGACTTTTCAGAATAGTAAAATACCTCTTCAGGGAAAATTATTTTTTATATGAAGCATATCATGAGGTAGAAAAAAACTTCCTGTGTGTATGACAGCAATAAAGATTTGTCACTTTCATGAAACTATTTATGTAGCTAGAAAAAAATAATGATAGTGCAGGTCAAATAATTTTTTTTTAATAGAATGTTGATATTGTCACACAAGTTGTGGCATTAGAGTCTTCTGTTCTAGTCTTAGGCTTGTAGTTCTCCACTGGAGGGTATAGTAATGGCATATATAAATGCATGAACTGGGTATTCTGATAGTAGTAGTTTTCTGCCAGTGTAGCTAGCTTCAATTCCTCAAACAGTATAAGCTGCTGAAAATGCTGAGGTTTTAATGTAGTTGCAGTGAGAGCACAGGATTTTGCAGAATATTGTGAAGGAAGATGCATCTTTCCTTCCATTCATTTACTCCCAATCACCATTCTGCTGCCACGTCTGTTGTTTCAGTTTGGTGAATGCTGATGCATATGCCTGGTGTAGGGACAGGCTAGCTAAGAATGCCATGCCACACAAAATTGGTAGGTAGCAACTAAGCCATTCTTCATCTGTGTAGGGGGGATGGCTGCAGCTGCTCACGTAAGCCATGGCTCAAAATGCTTGTAAAAAAAAAAGATGAGGGTGAAATATTTCATCAAGGTGTATTAGTGGATACTTGCAAGGAGTTAAAATGTGGTCAAGAGCTGTGTTTGATGCCTTATAGCTGTTAGGCAATAATGAGTATACTCTGTTTTACAGAAACTTTTGGAGCGCAAAGTGCATGAGAATGACATGAAGATATCTGCATTCATAAACTCCATGTATACAAATGCATATGGAAGATCAGCACCAATTTCCCAGAATTCTGAAAGTGTATAAAAATGTAAAATTGTTAACACACTGCCTCTTAGGATAGGTATGTTGACTTTTGCCGGTGGCAGTTTGAACAGCTGGAACTGAATCCTCTTCTATTCAGTTTTGCTGCACTGTTCTTTTTCTGTCTTAATATTTTTTATTTTTTATTGTGACTTGCTCAGTAATTTTAAAATTGTTCAAAATGGTAGTTTTAAATAAAGTTTGGACTTGTCTGTAAATTTGTCTTCTGAAAAATTTTCCTCTGGCTTACAAAATGGTATGCAGAGTGTGTTGTTGGAAGTTATCCAACTTTAACTGGTGGCATGCTTGTAGCAGTTTGTTCGTCTTCTTCAGAGAAACGCTGTTAGTTTTCCTGGGACAAGAGACTCTTGTCACAGTTGAGTTTCTCCATCTTCTAGAAATATGAGGTATAGACACCATACATTACTACAGGTTGCCTTTATAGCCTAAAGTATAGCTGCTCTGTAGGAAAAAAAAAAAGTTCCTGTTCATGGCCTGTGGAATTAATTTGTGTCAGCACATTTTCTGAAGTAAAGTAAATACTCTAGTTTTGTAGCTAACTGCAGAAACAGTCTGTATCTTTCTGTATTTTGTTCTGCACTTTCAGAATGCAAAGGGATAAACCTGTCTGAAAATTTCAGTATCCTTTCACATGTAACACTAAAAATTGGCTGCAGTTTGAAGCCTGTAGAATTTGCTCCTAAAGTATTTGACTTTGTAATAGGTTTTCACATAGAAAGGAAGAAATTTAGGAAGTTACAATTAAAGGTAATGCTTAAAAAAACAGTTCAAGTTAGCACCTAATGAAGTCTCATGGCAAAGGTGCAATTAGGATTGTAGAAAAGTAGATTAGAAAATTTCACCAGAACAAAATTTTTCTCCACTTTTTCAGATCACAGTTCTAATAGTAGTAGGTCATGAAATTGAGCTAGAAATAGCTTATTCAGCATATCTGCTGCATTATAGAGATCTTATTTACCTTAAACAAATACAAAGCTTTTCTCAATGTAGTTAAAAAGCAATGGTCATCTTTAATTCAGGCTTGTCTTCTTTTTGAGGTTAGTGTAATAATATGACTATATGCTGTAGGAGACAGTTTAGTGACAGTGAAACCTAAATATGCCTGAAGTGGAATAAAACGAGTGTTATTCTTCTGTGATTTCTTTTTTTTTAGGTTGGTTTAAGTGCGTCTAGGTTTTCTGAGTGAATTTTGAAAGGGCAGATTACAATCATATGCCTCTCATCTCTAAAGACAGAAGTATATTAAAAGGTTTGAAGACAGCTTAGTTACTGTGCGGGCTTTAAACTCACGGTGATACTGTGTGCAGAAAAACTTTACAATTTTGAAGACAGGAAATACATTGATGACAAAGGCAAACCTGGGAAAGTGAAATAAAATTAAATTTTTTTTATCACAAACTTGGCGTAAGAATCATTCAGTAGACCTGAAAGAATGTATTTTCATAATGTAGAACAAGATTTGTGTATATTTGAGACAAATCTAGTTGATATGGTAAATCATTAAGCTTAAGAAATCACATGAGCACGCACCATTCCTGAATTCTTGCTCTGGAATGGTGTGTATGAACAATGCACTGAAATGGTATTTCTTTGGTCATACTTTGTCTACTTTTTCTTCACAGAATCACAGTATGTTTTTTAGTGGTAGTAGAGATCATGCTTAAAAAGATGACAGGGGTGGGATATGGGAAGCAGAGTCTTCTGCTGGAGACACTGCTTGCTTCCTCAACAACCTGAACCAAAATGAATGTTACAGTTTGCTGTCCAGCATCCATTGCACAGCTCATCACTTCAGAGACAGTTCTATTGAGCAGTGAGTACAAAGAATTCAGATAGAATTATTTTTAAGATGAAAGTTAAGAGGCCAGAGCTGCTTCTCCTCTATAGCTAACACAGTTTAGTAACAGCTCTTCCCTTAGAGGGAAGCTGCTGTAGAAAACCCATCTTGTTACTATTACATAGTGAATGACCTAACAAAACAACAGACCACACTGGTATGGAGGGAAACCAAATCACGTTGGACTTTTTGACTCATTTTCTCTCTTGAAAGTATCTGCTACTTCTGGGAGGAAGGTGGAATAATAGTTTTCTTACAATAGATTGCAACATTGCTTTTGAAACTTTATTTTAATCAGATCCCATTCTATCCTGAAATTATTTACATTCCAAAACTAATTACAGCTTTCACAAAATCTAAGCATTAAGACAACAGAAAACCCAAAAAAAACTTTGGGCTGCTTTTGATGAATTGTAGTTACTTTACTACAGCATTACTGTCTTGCATAACAGCAAGAAGTTCAAACAAAATTTAACCCTTTACTAGTAAATTTTCAAGAACATGAGTTAAACTATTAAACTGTCTTATTTCAGAAGCCTTCACCCATTCTATACAAGTTTGCATATTCATACCGCAGTATTCATTCAAAGACAAACTGGAACATTTCCTGTCCTACTTTTATATAAGCTTCTCTCTCTTCATTTGTCATGAGAGACACAAGCTCTGGATTTTCACTAACTTCACCATATGAATGAGGCTGACCAGCTACCATTAAAACAGGACCTTGTGTTTCCTGTTCCTCCTCTTGTTCAAAGTTGCTGCCTGACACTTTCATCCCTGCTCTTGAGTACTTGGCATCTTCTTGAGACTCACTGGTATCACTGCCTGATTCAGGCAGTTTTCTTGTGACAGCAGGAGCCTGGTCTGTGCTAGATGATGACTTGGATTCGTGGATCAAGAGAGTCTCGATGATTGCATTATCAGTGACGGTTTCTTTAACACTTTCTTCAGACGCATTTACTCCTAATACACAATACTAAGTGTTAGAGGTATCAATAGTTTACAGTTACCATAGGCCTCCCTACATAATTTTTTTTTTCTCTGGATCTTTTTTATCCACACTTCACAGTTCTCTTGAAAGTGTGGACATTTCCAAGAGCTTTCCACTTTAAAGATTACCACTACTGTTACTGCACAGTTAAGAGACAAAAATTTCAGGTTGTGGTATCTGATCTCTGGCTTTAGGAACACTACTTAAATCAGTCAAAAGACTATTTTTTGGAAACTAAGCTCTGATAGCCACTAGTGCAAAATTGAAGCATTACTCTATATTCTAAACCAAGCTCACTACATTTCAATAGGAAAGCTATATTTAAGTACAGTAAGGCTGCTGAATATAAGTATTTGCCAATCCTTAAAACTTACCAACACTATTGTTAATGGCTGTTGTTGCTTCTTCCACAGTACTCTGTGACATCCAGATAGGTTGTTCTTTATTTGCTTTTTCTCTTTTCTTCTTGGGCTCAGAGTCTTGGACATCAATAATTAAGTTTTGGGTGTACATATTGCCAAAAGAGGAACTTCTGTTGGCCCATTTTTCAGGTTGGCTGCAGGATTCCAGCACACGTGAACTCCCCTTCTGATCAAAGCTGAATTAAATGTCACCCATTTTGGACATGTTAAATTCAGGCAAGAACCACCCCCCAGCTCCCATTCAAAAAAAAAGACAAAGCATGTTTTGTCAGCGGACTAGCTTTAACAAGTGTTTTACATTAAAACAATATGCATTCCCAATTGCCTCACCTCAGAAGCAAGGGATTCTGAACCATTGATTTTTGCATGCTCTCTTCAGTAGTGCTGCTCTGGATGAAGCACACTGATAGAAAACCATTACTTTCTCACAGAAAGGGCTATGAACATTAGCTGAGCAAGAAGTCTCTAAAAGTAATAAAAAGTAGCAAAAATGAAACTATAAATGCATAACAATAATTTAGAATGCCTTAGATATTACAGGTCTCTTCATTAAGCAATACTGAACAAAGCAGAAAGAGTAGAAAGTAGGCTGCAAATTCAGTATTTCAAAGATTTTACAACAGGAAAGTTGCTGAGGGGTTTTGTATTGATCAGAAGTTCTAGGGTTATGTTTATACCTTTCTGATAATTCTGGTATCTCTGTTGGCTGAGGCTCCAGCAAGTCATATGGCAGAACAATATCTTCAGTCTCACGCAGGAGCAAAAAGATAGGTTCAAGCTGCTCATTGAATTTTGCTAGCAAGGTTCGAGCATCGTGCTTAGGAAGTGCTGAGGCATCTTCCTCTACTTCAGTGTTGCAGTAAGTGCAGCGGAAAGTCTCTGCAACATTATTGAAATAGGAAATTCTCATGTTTATAGGATGCAAAAGATCAGCAGTACCTTGTTAAGAAAGCCACAGCCTAGACAACTACCGAAATATTCTGACTTCACTAGACTTATCCATTTGTTAACATTTACTGAAAGAACCTGCATTATAAAGGCAAGCCAATTTTTCTGGGGTTTTTTGGGGGGAAGGGGGGGTGTGGGTTTTTTTAAAGAAGGACTGATATTCACACACTTGCTATGCAAGAGACAAATGTTTATATTGGGGAGAAAAATAAGTTGGCTAGACATGGAGTGTCATCTGATAGTAAGATTTTTTTTCTTCTCTGATCTCATCTTTTTCTTAGTTCATAATGTAAGAAACAAAAGACATTTGCAAGCATAAATAGCATCTGGTTTTAGTTGTTCAGTTCTAAAATTCGAAAAGACTCATTTAGAGTCAAAGCGTATGCTAAAAACCTGTATTTATGTCTTAAGCCAAAAAAAAAAAAAAAAAAGCTTATTCTATTAAACTATATCACCAGCCTCAATGCTTGCATTTCAGTAACTTGGCAAAGTCCCTCCCCATTTAGAACAAAGGGATAGTTTAGCTAACTGGCAGTACACTGACTTCACCTTTGAGATTTCAAGTTAGTTATATAAAGTTCATTCTTCCTGGCTCTGGCATCCTTTCCAGGTACCATGACCTAGATGTTAACAAAGCCGCTGCTCTTAGAGTAATGCATTGTGATGTGGTGCCATTTTAACTCATTTTGAAAGAGTGCTCTTTATTTAAGTTGTTCTGATTTTAGAGAAGAGAAGCCCATGAGCTCTGATGCCACTTCTGCTGTGGATGTGTCATGTTGCCCTGGGAGGAGCCTGAACTTCCACGCTCCCAGCACAGGAGTGGCGGAACACCTCTCCTCTGCTGCTCAGCTGTAATATGCTTATTACAGTGGGTGGCTGCAAACAGCTTTATCCCTCTTGTCCAACTCTTCCATCAGAAGAACTGAACACACAAATGGATTAGTTTAACAAATCCAAAACAGAGTAAAAGGAGTACTGTATTATCATTCCATAAGAGGAAGTGGGACTCACAAGAGTTGGATGAGTAATCTTAAACCAGGTTAAGCATCTTGTTCCTAGCAAAACTGAGGCCCAAAATCTGATTTGCAACCCCAGCTCTTATATTCAAGATTATTCTTCCTCTTGTGTAGCCTATTCTGCAGAGACAGCTTTTTCTCTTACCCCCACCTTCCAGCCTGTCCCAGGGCCTTGTCCATCAGCAAACAAGAAGTATAACCTAACGAACATGCTTTTATTGCAGTTTGCACATGAGCCAATTTTGTGCTATCGTTATTCTCTAAGATAAGAGCAAATAAGCAATATGTGCAACATACCTGTAAATACATCAAAGAGCTGATTGACTTCCAGGTCTGTGTAAATGCTGGAGCAAGATGGACATTTAAAAGAGGACCTGGTAGTTGAATCCCGCTCATCCGCTTCTATCTTCCGGCGTACATGATCCAGTTTGTATTTTACCACATCCACAAGCACCTTGTAATTGATGTAATAGTAATTGTGCCTTGTGCTCTTCCCGTTAGGCCCTGTTTCCACTCGCATACGCAGCTTCACAAACTTGTCTGCCTTGAGCGTGTTGAGGATAGTACGCAGTTGTTTACGTTCATACTTGAGCAACTGTAACAAGTCATCCTCTTTCACACAAGGGTAGCGGATCAGTATATCGAAGGCCAGGGAGTACTCTACTCCGTAGAAACCACGCACCATATATTTGGCCAAGCGCTTTAGGGCTGCCGGGACCTCTCTGATATAATTTTGCTCTTCCATCAGGAGCTGAACCACTGGCAGAAAGAGAAGTGCTGTACAACGAACAAAAGGAAGGTGAGCTATAGTGAACCTTTCTTAGAGCTCACAGGCAGGTGCAAAGCAAGTCATTTGCTGTGCTGTGCTTCTGCAAGAGAGCAGACTAATGTAAAATCCTTAACCTGCACCTGGGGATGGGGAAGGTCGATAGATATCAAAGGTTACCTAATCTTCAGGTGCAATGATTACATATGAAATATTGATGTCCTCTTGTGTAAAAACCCACAGAAGATATCTAGGAAAATGGGTTACAGAAAGAGTTTATAATACCTGGCATTTTGTGCCAGATAAAACCATGCACATACCTAGTGGATAACCAGTTGGTGAGCACAGTGGCTATCCCTGAGCCACTCAACTACATTCATGCCCCAGTGGCACTCAGCGGGCAATTTTCCTTTCCCCATCCACATCAAGGGCTCTTTGCTCTTAGAGCTGAGTAGGCGTATTTTGAAGTCAGGATAAGGGTATGCAGGGGAGATGGTCCCTCTGTTGAGAGCAGCCAAGAAACTTCAGACAGCAGAGGAGTGACCAGTGTGCAGGACAGCTTAGATACACTGTTCTTGACCCAAGATTATGGGCTGGATTCCCACATCTATTCTCCACTATTTTAACGCAGGTGCACTTGAGCATAAACCAGAGGATTTCTGGAGCACAGACAAACATCACTTCTTCCTAAGAAAAATACACCAACGGATGCTAAGGACTTCTCTTTCTTCCTCTCCCTGGCCTCACAAATTTGGAATTTGTTTCTGTGCAGTGACTTATACTCACCAAGAAGGATGGACAGACAGTGTCCTCAGCAGCCAGTCCCAGAGATCAGGAGCATGGCTTTGAGTCTCCTCAGGCTCTGGAGAGCACTGAGCCTTGTCCTTCTACACCCTGGGCAAGCAGCCCACAGAACGGAGGCACCATAGCCTCCAGTATGTGCCCAAAGGAAAGCAACCATCGCATATTTCTGTAACCCAGTCCAGCCCCCCTGAGGAGCGCTAAGTGCAGACCCAGCTTCCGTATCAGGTACAGCACCAGTCTGGGCCAGCACCTCAGAAAGGGCCAAGGTGCCTTCTGCGTGGATTCATTTTATATGAACACGGGTTGGATTGTGGCACTATTAACACAAGCACAAAAACACTTCTGCGTCTAGTCCTTGGCTAATGGGGGCAGAACCCTCACAGTTAAAGGACTTGTATTAGGAGTAGGTCTCATGACTCTTTTTTCTTACCCACAGTCAAATACAGAATTAAATAATTTCAAAGGGAGTGTGATAAGTAGATAACATCATTAAGGAAGAAGTAGGACCTGAACTGTAAGCTTGAAGTTTGCTGACCTATCAGTTCTCTGGCTGACTCCTTATCTCAGACTTGGATCGCGTACTTCGATCTCTAAAGCAAGCAGTACTCTGAAGTGCTAGGAGGTCTGGACTGCGCTGAAGTGCTTCCGAGCACCTTGATGTTAAAAGCTCTTCAGGTCCGGCGTCTTACAACCATGTAAACTATTAAGGGAAAGAAAACAAACAAAAACCCCACAACCAAAAACTACCCACCATACTCGCACAACAGACCCCCGCCAATACAAACGTACACACCTAGTGTAAATAGCATTAATATATCCTGAGAGAAGAGCTAGAAGCTTTTTTCAGCAACAAATCCATAGAGACCACTGTCCATTTGCCTTGGAAATTTAGATATGCAAACCTTCAATTCAATATAAAAGTAAACAGCTTTCTTTTGTAAAAGTCTCTGAATTTGCCCTGAATAAAGAACACTAATGGAAAATGCAAACCTCTTGAGAAGTGTTCCCTTAAGCTACAAAAGAACCAAAACTATGTATAATATTGTAAAAACTACATAAAATCAAAATGAGGGGGAAGCTTTCTCTACAGTGCTTTTGTATATTTGAGGTCTCCAGTCCATTTTGAAAAACCTCTCCATCTTATAATTGCCAAATCTGAAGTCTTGCAATTTAGGAAAACTGATGGTTTTTAAAAGCTGTTATGCAGTTTTCATTCACAGGCAGCAGTTTCCCTTTAAAAGGAACTTAAGGCCACCCTTGTCAAAGAAAGGAGGAGGAAGAGGAGCAACTCCTGGGAGAGAGAGAAGGGCTTTAGACAGGAATCTTCTCTGCAGCTAAACTATAGTCTGTGTTAAGGAGACAGGTATTTTGCTACTCATGTCTTTTTTTTTTTTTTTTTTCTTTGTTTCCAGCTGATAGCACATATGGACAAGATAGCTTAAAAGTCACAGTCTCCTACCTTTAGCTGGTTTTAAAGTACTTAGTTTTATGAGAGTGGGAGCTACCTTTTTATTACATTGATTATTTTAATAATTATTCAGTAACTTCAATGCCTGAGAGGCCTTTCTGCATATAGTTAACATGGAGCCATTATAATCTTCACCAAAGAGAGAGGAATACAGTGCTTTGTTTTTACACATAAGCAACAACTCCTTTTCAGATCCTCTTCTTGCTTTGGGAAGCCTACACAGAGTTGCTTGTTGTGTTGGCAGGCAACTATCAAAAGCAGAAATTCAAATTAACAGGCATCACATAGAGCAAGTTCTGCAAGGTTTCTCTGAAGCTAGTTGCTTAATTAACATTTTACTTGAGCTGCCAGAGAAGGCAAATCACCCGTCTCACTCTTTTAAAGACACTAAACCAGAAAGCTTTATTAAAGTAGTCCTTTACCAGACTTCATATAACCATATCATTTGCAAATAAGTTCAAAACCTTATCATTACCTCTCTCATATAGGCAGGAAAACTTCAGGTTGATACTGTAGAAGAATCACCCCTTTCCTAGAAGCTCAAAGTAACTGCAAAACAAGCTTAAGTATTTCCCAGCCTTTTCCTAGACCTATCTGTGATAAGCCCTAATTATCACCCAGCTGGAGCAAGAGAGTCCCCAAATCACATTTCATTAGCAACTGAATAAATTCAGCCTTATTGCTCAATAAAGTCTGCCTACAACAGGCAGGGATTGAAAATATATGTGACTGCAATTTTTGATTAGTGTTTTCATTAGCATGACTTTAGATGACTAGAAGTAACATAGTAATTAACTCTTTTTGATGTTGCAAAACAAATATCTAATATAGGTAATTTTTGTAATTTGTGTTTAGGAGCTTTCATAGCCAGACAAACCTGGAAATGTTAGCATTTTGCAAAGAAAAAAGCTGGAATTAATACGTTTACTAGTTTTTGTATTTTTACTTATTAATCTTTTTAGGCAGCTTATGCCTTCAAAAGGGAACAAAAGTATTTTTTCAGTTTATTTCTCTAGAAGATAAAGTTATGAATACTATTATTCCCTTTTATGGGTTAGACATCTGTGTTTAAAAATAATGTTGAAATCAGGTTGCTAGACACTGTATGCTCCAGGGATAAAATGCTGAATTCTGTTAGGATTGCAATCATCATATTCCATCTCAAATCCATGTCTTTTATGTGTTTTTTTTCTACATGCACAGTGGAGGCTGGTGTCCTGCAGTGACATGGCTTAGGTCTTCCTGGGACATCTTGCAGCATGTATTGTGCTTTTGTTGCTGCTGTTTGTTGCTGGAACTCTGACTCTTAAACTTACCTGGCACATGGGTCCATAGAGAGCCCCAAAGGCGTGGGAGCTTGTCTGCATAGGGCAGGTTGTGGGACTGACATCTGTAAATATCACTACAGAAGGTAGTGCTGCGGAGAAATATTCAATATCAGAAAAGAAGCCTCATATTTTAGTAGCTGTACCAAGAATTTAGCTTTCAAAATACTTCAAAGATTTGAGGCTGCAGTTTAGAAACTGCAGGAACGGGCAGTTATAAAAAAAAAAAAAAAAACCCTGAGATTAGCTCTGCTCTTGCTTGTGATTTGTCGTAGCAGGGATTGGTTTCATGCCTTATGCTGGGAAAAGCCCTGCTAATACTCCTTTTTGTTCCATTAAATAAAGAACTATTTGTCAGATGCCCACAGCTGAGAAGTATAATTGGCATAAACCTTCAACTGCAAATTTAAAATATTCACATAGGTAAAATTAAGGAGATACACCTCATTCTATGTAGGGGTTCTTGAGTATGCTCCTTTGTTGCCACGTTATACTAGAAAATGCAAAGGAGCAAGACTACTTGCTGGTACCTGTTGGGTTTAGCCTGTGGGAAATGTTTACAATGAATAATATGGGTTTCCTTGCCGAGTGTTTTGAACAGGGAAAGTGTCGTGTAACCGCAGCGCTGTTATTCATGTGACAGTCCTCAGCTTGCGTGTGGAGGTGTAGAACCAGATCACAAGACAACATGAAACAGCTTTCTAAATTAAGGAGAGTGATGGGCTGGCTGGTAACGCTGCTTTCAGACACAGGAAATCACAATCACCTGTGCCAGCTGCGGCTGACACCACCAGGGCTGTTTGGTAAACAGTTCACCTCCGTGTAGCAGAGGTGAGTCTCCATGTGGCAAAGGTGCTGCGCAGCCAGGTGTCTGCCCATTTGGCGGCTGGGAGGCCATTCTGTAGGGGCTGTGCTGGGCTGCCTTTGTCTTGAGTGCTCAGAGCAGGAGTGAAAGTCACAAGCCAAAAAAAAAAAGTGTGGTATTTGAGCAGGTATTTCTAACTGTGGGTAGCCCTGGCACCAAGGGCCGTGGGAAGCAGAATTCATGCTGAAATGTTGTTGCAATGTTGTGTAATGCAGACATTACTGAAAGCAGGAGTTTGAGATGGGGATGGGCACAGTCACCTGGCTTCATTTCAAACCCATTTGGGTGGCTGGGACATGCACCTCGAATGGAATGAGCATGCACTGCACTGGCAGGCTACTTGATGAAGAGGAGGCAGGTAACCAACTGAGCAGTCTCAGGTGGGAGAGGTAAATACAGAGTCTGATCAGAGGTTGAAGGAGAAAAGTTAGTGAGTCACTTTGCTTTGGGCAAGCGGGAGCTGTTATAAGTTGCTTTATTGTCTTCCCCAGGCCTGACAGCTGCTGCTCTGCCTTTC